AATATCCCCCCCCCCCCCCCCCCAGGTTAGGATGGCCAGAACTCCAATCAGTACTAACACATGACTGGAACCAGACTGAACACATGGCAGGGGTATATATGCCCTGTCCCTGCATGCACCAACGACTATGAGAGTCCTAGTGATTGGCTGGTGGACTGCACACACGCTCGCAGTGTCCCCCATTGGTTGTCTCACACTGCAGCAGAGCCACACCCCACCCAGGCAGGTACAATAAATGCTAGAGCAACTGGAGTTAACCAGATAAATGTCAACTATAATTCAGCAATGCTGACTACAGCCCTGGCAATTACTAGAAATCGTAGCCATTTCAAAAAAGGTGGTGGGGGCTACACATACATCCTAAATCCTGCAAAACTGATTATCAGAGTATACAATTATCTTTGGCCATATTATCATGTGATCATTTGCCTGTGGGCCTGTGGAAGACTTGTGTCTTGTTGCTGGTGTTTGGATGGGTCAGAGTTTATTCATTAATTCATTCAGTGTTAAATGTTTATTAAGGAATGTCTAGTGTTTTGTAAACTTCTCATCTCCTTGTCATGCTATGTGAATGGGAACATGTAACAAATATAAAGTCGGTATTATCCCTCTTTGGCTGCAAAAGTGGAAATACACTTTAACCCTTTCGCTGCCAAGCCCTCCGGAACATTTTTCAAATCAGCTGGCCAAGCCATTTTTGAATTTTCTGCAATTTTTAAGTGTATTTGTCATGCAAGCATGGCTTCAACTACAGATTTTTTCATGTTGGTAGATCGATGTGGCCTTCCTGTGTCTTCACCCAATTTTCTCTTAATTTACTTTCAAGGAAAATGAAATAAAAACAGTATTTTTGCTTTTACATAATTGAATGATGCATGTGAGTAGAGTTTTACCTCATTCACTAAGCAAAGTGAAAATTAGCTTTGTTAAGTGAACAGCCTATTGTGCTGCCACAGCCAATGTTATCTTTTAGTATTTGCTGTTTCCATAATACTGCCACATATTTCACTGCTTATCATAATGTCTCGATGTGCCCTGACATCTAGTGCTAGATTAGCTCTACTGCAGGTTGTTTTTCTATAGATACACATATTTGATATCTTCCACTGTTCTCCCCTCATTTTTTGTGTCACTTGGCCACTCCCAGCTTCTTCCACATTCCTTCATTGTATCTCTAGCCCTCATTGCAGACTCTTGGCTTGGAGGATTTATTGCCTTTTTACACTTCATGTGACCAGCGAACTTCTGTATTCCTTAAGAAGTAAAACTATGGTGTCTATTCGAATGACCGACCTAAAGTGAAGTGAGCCGAACACTGTTCGGCAAACACTGATGTGTCTTTCTTTTTCTTTATTGTGACACGGAGCCATGTCAGAAAAAAAATATATATATTTCCCATTGAAATACATTGCTACATTACTATTGGCTATTTCAATTTGCAATAGCCAATAGTAAACTAGCATTGTACCCGCCCTCTGCTGATGGACCTGATGGAGAACTGCAGCAGAGGGCGGGTACAATGCAAGTTTACTATTATTATGTTGGAATTAAGCTTCTGTGTCTTATTAGAGAGTTAGGCTGCCTGTAGATGGATCTGAAGTAGCTTGTGACCATACTGCCCTTAAGGATCAAAGTCCAAAGGAGGAATGTCAAAACATAAAGTGGCTCTTGAAACAGAACAGACTTTAGTGAATCAACCCCCTTGAATCAGCAAGTCAAGCAACTAGCTTTAACAGTAGGAGTAACAGTGACATCATACAGTGGCTCTAGTCTGTGACACTTTCCTCTCCATTCTTGTGTTTCATTTTCTGTTTGACTGTGACAATATAGGAGCTGACATATCATCTGAATTTAGTCTGAATGGTCTGCACTAGATTGAACTATAAACCCATATCTGTTTCTGTATTTAGGGTTACCCCCTTCTGACCTTGTGTGATTCCTGAGCTGACCAGTAGTACAATTTGTATTCTGATCCTGTTTGAATATCTAGACCTGCTTCCCCTGGATTTCTAGGCTTGTTTGCCATCTGTCTTGATCTTCATCTTCTACTGACTACAATTCTGTTTTACAATTGATAATCCATCTGCCAGCTGTCCCCAGCCGGGCAATCTCAGGGGCTGCACTATGGGAGTTGTCCTCCAGCAAATTCTATCTCCACCATAAGGAGCTCTTTGTGAAGACCAGATACAACTGTGCCTCAGTTCCTGCTGACCTTAGAAGGTATCTCTCTTTGTCTGTGTTGATCCTGAGCCTGTACTCCAGTCCTTGTTTCGCCTGTACGTGCACTCTAGTCCCAGCTTATTTTATGTGTTTTTTTTCAAATAAGAATGTTATGTACGAACAAATGAGTGAGCCATATTTTTTGCAGATGAATGAATTTTAATTTTTACATTTTAACCACAGTTTTCTTCGCCCCTTAAACCACAGGATAAGAAGATGCCACGTATCTCTTGGCATTTCCATAAGTTGAATTGGCCCAGGTATAGGTTTGAATCCTAAGAGTCTGGCCTCCCATTCTGACAGTGCATCTAAAAAACAGCCACAATAATTAAGTATATACAATGATGTCTATTGTAATTACATATATTCAAAATTGCAATCTGATAATTATACACTTTGTTAATGAGACATCGCGAAATAAAACATTCCTGTAACCATGGCTGGAATACAATCTATTTTATATAATTCTATAGCTGAGCTAAACTTAAATTGTTTTCTAAAGTAATGTTGCAACTACTGATGTTTGCAAAACCAGCATTAGGTTAACTAAGCAATCAGTCTGGATCATGAGCAGATCATGAGCATCTGTCAGTTTTTTTTATTGAGGTCTGTCACTATTTGAGTGACTTCTCCTTACTGTCTTTCTGCTTCATGCTCGTAATATTGAACAGGAAATGAGGGGAAATCCCTTAACAGTGACAGAGGCTACAAAAAAAAAAAAATGATGTCAGAGTTATATCGCTGTCTGCTTCCCCGTTTAGGAATGCTTGCAGCATTTTTGCAGATTGCACTGGACCGAACCGCAGGTACTGATGTTCTGTGCGGTCTGGTGCGGGCAACCGCACTGCGGGTGGGGGGGAGGGGGCGTGGCTGCGGTGCCATTGACCTCAATGCACCACCATGCCCCCTCCCACTCCTAAATGCAGGAAGCCGGCCAGAATGCAATACAGTGCGTTCCAGAGGCTGACCGCTCTGGAACGCAATGTTTATGGTGGGAACCGGCCCTTAGAGTGTACATTTGGGCAACATTAAACATATTCAGTACATTTCTTCAGTAAATGCACATTTGCTTATGAGTCATTGCTTTAAAAACACTGCAAGTACAGAAAAATATGCTTTAATCTCCCAGAAATCCAGTGATCTCCTAACTTTGTGTAGGGAACTGATAACACAATCTGAAGCAGTGTGATCAGTGCTGCCCAGTTCTCCACTTGGATTACAAAAAAATTCCCTCCTATTCTTTGGAGATGAGAAGGGAGGTGATCTGTAGTCCAGTAAGCAGATTTTGAGCTTTACTTCTCTTTAGGGCCACAGGAATACATTTACTATGCTAATACCCGGTATCTACTGACAGCGCAGAGAAGAATGAGAAGACACCGCTGATAAGAATCATGGCAATAGTGTCACGATCAACCCGGCTGCCTGATTGACAGCTGTCTCTCTAGAGCCTGATCCAACGGTGCTTGCCCCTTCCCTTGTCTGTCCCTGCAATGAGCACTAAAGGAAGACAGAGGGAAGAGGGAATCCCTATGGGAAGCAACGACTGACAGTAACCTCTCTGCAGGTAGGAGACCGTGAGCTAAGGGATTAGCGAATTGCATGAGCCTGCAGTGTCCCATGCTCTAAGCAGCAGGGAAAGTATATTTTACTCTCTCCGTACTTCTCCTTTAAGAGCTCTCAACTTTTATTGTATGGCATTCAGTTAAACTTCAATATAAAATGGTTACATTATAACTTTTGCTATTGGCGAACTCAAAAAAGACCCAGTAGTCAATTTGAGGAAGTACAAAGTTGCCACATAAAAGAGTGTTTCTCCATTCTAGTGGCTAACTGAGCGGCTACTTACTGTAACTGCCTTATTTTGTTTTCCAGTAACTACAACAAAGCAAGGTATTTTCTTTTCGTTAGTAGTTACAAAGTATGAGAGAACATAAAATGATAACAGAAAAGAATCTCAAAGTCATGTGAGTTCTCCGAATTATACATGGGTATATCAGGTACCAAGATTTTGGTGGGTGGCAGGGTACATAAATTATTCAAAAAAGGCGGGAGCTAGGGGTGAAATACATGCCTGTATTATCCTAAAACAAGCACATTACCAGAGTTAGATTCATTGACCCTAGTCCTGTAAATGCTAGGCATGGGTAATCTCTCTACAACATAATAATAACTTGCAAGGGTGCGGTGCTCCATGGCAGACTTTACAGTTCTATGGTAGCCCAAGCTTCAATCCAGAGCACACATTGAATACGGACTAATATTTCATGGCTATAAAAACCTCATTACCACACTAAGCCACAACATTCATCTTGGTAAGGTATGGAAGCCAAGTCAAGGGCATTTCAATTATGTGCACAAAGAGCAGCTGGAATACTTACACACTGTCAGGGCGAGTCACATAACACACAGTGAAAACTGCAAGATCAAACTCAGGACTGCTTCCAATAAACATTGAACCGATGTTCTTCAGGTAGCCTGACCAAGTAAACTGAGCTCCGATTACATCAGGATAACTTGTCCACTAGTACAAGATAAAAAGAAATATAATCAATGCTGTATATGTCAAATTAATTCATATTAACAGGGCTGTCCCTATAATGAGACAGCCTGAGGTGCTTGCCTCAGCCAGCATCCCATTGGGTCACATGGGAGGCGTGGCATGTTTGCCACCCCCTTTCCTGCCAGAGCGTCCCGGGTTGCTAAGAGCTTTAAGGAACCTGTGACACTCTGGCCGACGTCTCCACCCAGCTCCATGACATCACTGTTTGCCAGGAGCTGAGTGGGATGGTCTGGCTGGCGTTCCGTCTAGCTCCTGGCAACCAGTGAGGTCAGCGGGCTGGGAGGGACACCGGATAGTGCTAGAGGACTACCAGCAGCAAACCCCCCCTTTCCCCAGTAAGGTGCACCACCATAACGGCACTCCCCCCCATGGAATGTGCTCATCACTATTATTACCACACACCCCCCCTTCCCCGGTAACATTAATCACTATCACCAACCACCTTCCCTCCACTGGCCTCAGGTCTAGGGACGTCCCTGCACATTAATATTTAGGATTTTATGCTACACATTGGAAGCACAGCTACAGCCAAACATTTTTTTTTTTCATTTTGGATAGAGCAACAAAGGGTAAGAGCATCTGTAAAGTTTCAAAACCTCTGTGTCCCAATTGGCCTGGAGTGATGAGAAATCTCTCCAAGAAGGAGTAAGGAATGGTTAGAACTGTTAAACATGTGACAACCATGGCCACCATTTTTTGTATGGGCTTTACAGGAACTGGAAGTGATGGGAAATCCCCCCAATGGGGATACAGACAGAAATAAAATCCTGACAGAAACAAAAACTGTAGTTAAGCTTTTAAGTGAAAAGTAATTTAACAAGCTTCCTAACGGGAAAACTACTCAAGTGTCTGTACAGCTTTGCTGGGAAATTATCATTGCATAAGGAAACTATGTTACAAGCATGACAGCAATATTCTGTGTGTATTCACAAAGCATGACTTCCCTGTTTTTGTAACCACTGGTGACATAATTTAAAAAATTATTATCTTTGACAATGACTATTTCCTTATTTGAGACTTCTCTTTTCATATGGGTTTCAAAGAAGGAAACCAGTGGGATTCATACGATAAACAGTCACAGTTTGGACAAAAATGATCATTTACACAATGCGCTGACTATGTAAATAATCATTAAAAAGCTGTGTGGTATGTTTAGAGGGTGGCAGCAAAGTATAAAAATCTTACCTTACTGCACACCGTCCCTGCACATGACACCTAGCTTCTGGGCAGGAGAGGGGGATATGAGATTCGAGCCGTACAGAGTTCCGGTCACCTTACCCTCCACTCCTCACTATTGCCCATTCACAAAAGATAGTATGCTGCAAGATAACATGTTTCTACTTTGCAGCCACTCTCTGCACAAAACACCCAGCTTAATGATCATTTTGCCCAGATTGTGGATTTAAATAAAAGGAACATTGAAATTGATTTCAACTGCTTTTTTTAAGAAAGTTAATGCCTAATTTAATTAAAAAACTGATTTTATTTTATATGTGATTTTTTTTTTTGAATATGTCAATGATTGCTGGTTATTTTAGCATATATTGTGAACATTAAGAGTGAAGGTATTCTATTTGGAGGTAAGTATATCATTTTATACATGACTGTATGTATGTAAAAATAAAACTGATTACTAGATAATTAGTGTATATTGTGATCACTTATTCAGAGTGGAGTCAATAAAGTTAATAATATACAGTAATACCTTGGTTTACGAGCATAATTAGTTCCGGCAGCATGCTTGTAATCCAAAGCGCTTGTATATCAAAGCGAATTTCCTCATAGGAAATAATGGAAATTCAGATGATTCGTTCCACAAACCAAAAATATTCATATAAAAATGATTACAATACTGTACTGTAATATAATACTGTACAAATATAAAGAAAAATAAGCCGATTACCGGTACCTTCGTGGCCGGTGTGAGGGGGACAAGAGAGAGGAGGATTATTGTGTAGGACGACTTTCACTATCACTAGCGGAATCACTGATATCTCTTGACTCAATGGAATCTTTTTCATTTCGTGAAACCTTAACAAGGAATCTATTCAATGCGACATTGCATTGTCGTTAAACAGACTCATCGCTCGCACTGCTACAGCCTTATTCGGTGGTGCTTTTCTACAAAATGTTGCTCTTATTGCAAGACATTGCTTGTATATCAAGGCAAACTTTTTCAGAAATGTTTGCTTGTCTTGCAAAACACTCTCAAACCAAGTTACTTGTAAACCAAGGTATTACTGTAATAAGTTGAAGGTAATATTACCGGTAGGATAATGAATATTTTTGTGAGATTATAGGGAGAGTATAGGAACTGTTATTTTTATTGGTAACAAAAGAGTTAATATGTGTATTGGTTTTTAATGCCAACAAAGGAGTTTTTATGTGTGAGGATTTAAGAAAATGGATGTCTAGCCAGCCCAACGCCTCTGAAACAGTCTCTGACAAAACATTCCAGCATGATGTGGCTGGCTTATGCATGCTTTTAATATGATGTTCACATTTTAAATACAGTTTGGAGAATTCATAAAAACTGCAGCAGACAAAATCTGGAGCTGTTGCCCAGAGCAATTAAGCAGCTTCTCTCTTTAGTTTGTTCAGTTAAGCTTTGAAAATGAAAGAGAGAAGCTGATTGGTTGCATTGCACAGCTGCTCCAGATTTCTGCTGCTCCAATTTTGATAAATTACCCTGAATGACTTTACACCTTATGTCAGTTTCCACTTTTCACTTTTCCACTGTCCATATTTAATTGTTGTTTAAAAGTTCAGTTCCACTTGAACACTGTGCTGGATCCTTGCTCAGAGGAAGTAGAGAGGGTTAAATCCAGGGGGATCTGGGATTGCTGAGTATGTCCTCAGTTCCTCCTGTGTCAAGGGGGAAATCTCTGGATTTCTGTACATGATAGGAGTGGAGAGTTGGCTGTTTTGGGCATTTTACAACCTGCTGGAATTTGGAAGCCAGGAGGCTTATTCACAAAGTGTTTTCGACCTTCAGTAATGTTGGTCCAACCAATCCGATGAGGGTGCAAGCTTATGTGTTTGCAAGGTGGTTTTCTGATTGGAGTGAATTTCAAGTTGTAGCTAAGGAGTCAGAAGTGACCGGCCTAATCAGATAGTGGCCTCTATCCAGATGTTGGATCGGCTGAGTGGAAGTCCTTCTGCACTTCGGCTCAGCCGAACATCCAGAGCATCTTCGGCTGACCCATGGCAGCCCATGTACGGATGAATTTAGCCGATGTACGGCTGAAATCAGCCGCACAAGGCTGTAGTGAATAGCTGAACAGCATTCGGCTCACTTCACTTCGGCTGGGTTATTCACAATATATATATAAATTTCCCAGTGCTTATATGTGATAGCTGCAATAGTTTTCTTTTTTAAATCCTGCAAAAATCTTGCATTCTTGTAAATTCCTGCGTACTTAACTGGAATCTCAAACAATGTTATTAACTTTCCCAGCTAATGTTTGTAGACTACAAAAGAACTGCATTCTTTGTAACGGAGATGTGGAAAGGGGAAGGTGGGCTGTAGTCCAAATCATGAGAGCAGCCTAGAGGGACAACTCCACTTGCCTTTAATTAAAGTGCAGTAAGGAGTGTTGTCATCCTAGGACAGGTAGTGTAATATTGGCTGGATCAATAGGTGAAAATAAAGAAAAAAATGCTAATGCAGCCACCACATCTAAAGGTGCCCACACACCTTGCGATTATCGTACGATAATCGCAGGAAATCCCGCGATCGTACAATAAGCGCAGTGTGTGTGGAAGGCGCACGACCGTTTCTACTGTACGGTCCAACGACTTTTGTTTTACGAACATGTTTGAAAGCCCGCCGAGAATCGTACGGATGTCGACGGGTGTGTGGCATGCTCGTAAGATAAATGCCGAACGGGCCGGTGTGCGCAAGCGCACACTGACCGTTCAGCATTGCGGTCATCGGAAGCAAGTTTAAAATTAAAGACACACATAAAAAAAATGGAAAAAAACACAAAAATTATTTTCAAGTCAGCCAATCCTACGTACATGCACATTCAAACACAAATATGTGTCAGGTACACCTATGTGTGAAAATTACAATTGTGCCACACATGTTACATATCACCACAAACGTCGGAGAGCGAGCAATAATTTTAGGGTCAGCAATCAAACCAAAATGATGATTGGTAAAAGCTTGAACACCCCGGTCTTCAAGTGGTTGAAAATGAAAGCGACTTTTTAATTGTTTGTGATGGGAAGTACTATTCTGCCTGTGGAAGTTACTATGAGCACAGGTAGCATACATAAGGATAATTTGCACATTCTATGTAATTTACTAAGCAGTGTGAGGGATGAGCTATAACAATTGCACAGAAACACTTACAGGTCCATCTGCACTGTAACTCAGGTAGTTAATTTGACCAGACTTTTCCTGCAGGTAGAACTGTATCCAGCTGTGGAAGCCAGAGATCTTTCCATTATGGATTTCACCTGTAAACGGAAAGCACCATCAGTATATACAATGGGGTGTCCTGAGGCACTGCGCTGTGTAAAGAGAGCCCAAAGCAACAATGATGCATTTTCTGTATTAGGCAATAGTGTCTCCAATATTATTCACACCTACATATACAAAGAACCTCACGTTTAACAGAAAATTTGATATTTGACATATAGCACATTTACCATACTGTACCGTTCATTACTTTCTGAAACCACATCACCACCATGATTATAACAAGCTTTTGTATCTTTTGCACAGTATATATTATACTAACATCTGATACAAAGGGGTCTATTCACAAAGCTGCCGTAGGCAGCCGAGTGAACAACCGACTAAAAGTGAAGTGAGCCGAACACTGTTCGGCTATTCACTTCAGGCTTGTACGGCTGATTTCAGCCATATATCGGCTGAAATCAGCCATACATCGGGTGGCTTTTGGTCGGCCAAACATGCTCAGCATGTTCGGCCGACCCGAAGTGCAGAAGGAGTTCGACTTAGCCGATCCAACATCTGGATCGGCTGAGCCGAACCTCCGGCAGGCTACTCGCTGCTGTTTGGCCTATTCTCATAGATGCCGAACAGCAGTGAGTGAATAGCTGAATGCCGATGAGCGGCATTCGGTTCGGCTATGAGATGACGGCTGGCTCCGCCCAGCTGTCAGAAGCAGGCTGTCGGCCGGCCCATGGCCGGCCATTCGGCCAGCTTCGAATTACCCCTGGGCTCAGTCGAGCCAAAGCATAAGCCTTCGGCTCGACTGAGCCCCTCGGCCAACTTCGGGGGCTGTACGGGCTATAGTGAATAGCCTGTACAGCCGCCCTGAACCGAAGGGATCCTGGGGCCGAAGCTACCAAAAGGATCAGCCGAAGCTACAGCTAGATCCTTTGGTAGCTGCGTGAATAGACCCCATAATGTTTTGAAGTGGTCAAAATTAAAGACTTAATTAATGCACTCTGAATAGTGTGGTATACATTTAATGAAGACCTGAGAAATGTTGGCACTGCGATTGCTGATTTTAGCGATGGAAGCTTTCGGTTTGTCACCCTGGTCATATTTTCGTTATCCAGTAAGTTGAGCTGGCCATACACAGGTAGTTTTTTCTCATTCCCCCTGCCGGGCTATTGTATTCTTACAACTGAATACCCGAACAGTGACTGCAGCCAATCACACGTTTCATTTACTAATTTGTTTTGAGATTGTAGTCTATCACAGGAGTGAGCTTGGAGCGGTGGCTACTTTACAGCACACACAGGGACCTTGGGGAATATAGGTAGCCACCCTCCAGAAGGACAGTGTCAGCACCAATTCAGAGATGATTTGAGGGTCTACAGCTGAGCAATACACAAATAAGATACATTTTGGTTAATAGTTAAAGTGACATTAAAGTAAAAAAAATGTTTCCCTCCCCCCAATGTTAATGTTAGCACTTACCTTAAACAGACATCCCAAGTCTCCCGAACGTTCCGGGAGTCTCCTGCTATTAGATAGCGGCTCCCGGACGCCCGCAGGAGAGACATTTTATCCCGGAAAGTATTTAAACCTTTCTGGGTCTGCTGCGCTCACTAGTTCTGCTGAGTAAAAATAACGTTTTTAGCTTACAGTGGCTGGTCAGTGGGAGGGGTTAAGGCACGGCAGGGCAGCCTGTGATTGGCTGGAGACAAAAGTCCCTGAGCTAGCTCTGCAGACACCTTATGATGAGTGCCGAGGGGGAGCCGATAGAAGACGCCTGTGGAGGGTGAGTGGCACACTTCCTAGTCTTGTCATATACTGTAGTGTTAATAATCACAAATAAAATAAAAACATAATGTAATTAATAATAACATAAAATAATATAATTAATAATAACAAAATGGTATAATATCTACTATGTTTGTGTGTGTATATATATATATATATATATATATATACATACATACATACATACATACACTCACACATATATACTATTATAAATATTATATTATGTTTTATGTTATTATTAATTAAATAATGTTTTTATTTTATTTGTATTTTATTTGTGATTATTAATATTATATGCTGCTGCTGTCAATCAGCGGAGGTGGACCTGAGGTGCTCCTCTGCTGATTGACAGCAGCAGTGGGTGGGTACAAGAGCAAGCCTGCTATTGGCTATTGCAATTTGAAATGACCAATAGCAGCCTAGCTATTCATTCCCCTGCTATTTAGTTTTTTTTAGTTTTTTATTGTGAAGGTGGCCGACGGCCGCTGTCAAAATAAAAAAACAGAGAAGGTACCTCCCTGAAATGAGAAGGGCACCTCCCTGAAATAAGGTTTTGCAGGTTGGGATGTCTGCTTAAATTATGTCTCTTATTCTGATCTTCTTCTTCTTTCCTGATGTTTTCATCTGTCCCTCCAGCGGTGCGGCGGCTCTCCAATCCAGCGCTGACTGCTCTGTCCTTCCGATCCAGCGGTGTCTGCATGCGGGTGCACGCGTCCATAGACTTACCTTGCGTCTCTGCTCGTCTCCCGGCCGAGAATCGGAACTGCGCATGCGCCCACCCCAAGATCCTTTGCGGCCGTACGAGCAGTTCCTGATTCTCGGCGCGGGAGCGAGCAGCGATAACGAGGTAAGTTTAAACCTAGTTAAAGCGTTTTTTTTTAAACTTCTTGCCTATATCTTCTGCTTGCTAGCAGTAGATATAGGCAAAAAAACCGGAGGGTTTAGAACCCCTTTAAGGTACTTTAATGCATTTTTAAGATTTAACTCCTGAGTTTAGTGTTACTTTAAAGAAGTGCAAAATAAACATATCTATAATGGGACAGTGCTGTCATTAAATATATCACACTTTAGTTAGGTCTAATGTGCTGAGAATATGTTTAGGAAAGTTAAAATAACAGATACGATGCAAGAAGCATTCTCTTCTTACCATGGAAAATGTGCTCAAAGCCTGAAGAATCCAAGGGCCCTTTGGTGCGGGTATACAGTCCAAACCACATCAACTTCAGGTCATCCTTAAAGCTTGCGGAAGACGTATAATAACCTATGTGAAGATAAACAAACCTTTCAATTCAAAACTGAAAGCAGGGTGCAGAGCAGAACAATTCCCACTGGTGCAGTCCTTTAGTAGATCAGAGTTGATGCCTAAAAAACATGTAAGCTGCGGAAAAATTTGGTTTGTATGTATCGTTATTTCGGGATTCGGATCCGGAATTCAATTCGGTTTGGATTCCGGATTTGGACAAAATCCGAATTTTCGTTAGTTTCAGATGAGTTTATGAATATCCTTTGCGAATACCACAGAAAACCATATGCAGATATTAATACTAAAGCTCCTAGACCTGAATGGCATTCGGGAGTCTGAATTTCCGAATACCATTCGGGGGCTCCAGAAAGCATTACGGGTCTGGAAGCCATATTAAAGCTTAGGCTTCCAGAGTTGAATAACATTCGGGAGCTCCCAAATGCAATTTAGAAATTCAGATTTCAAATGCCATTCAGGACTAGGAGCCTCAGCTTTAGTATTATATATATCAGATGTGTTTTTCCGTTTAATGCATCCGAATGGGTCTTAATATGAATTTTCTTTATGGCAACCCATAACGAAAATTCATATTAAGACCCATTCGGATGCATTAAACTGAAAAACACATCTGATTGGCCAAAAAAGTCACATGTCAGATTCAGTTTTGCTTTTTAACGAAATTCAGACGGGATCTGAAATTCTGAAACAGAAATTTGGATTCAGACACATTCAGATGCATTGGGATTCGGAAATTCGGGTGTGTCCGAATGTCCGAATTTTGATTCGGAACGAAACGAATCGCACATGTCTAATGCCTAACTTTTTTGAGCCCTTCTGTTTGCTGCTTAGATCGGCTCCTGAATGAAACATTGGTTCATTAACCCCATTCAGATAAACCTGCCACTAGATCCCAATTGCTCAGTCTCCTTCTATAAGGCCATAAAGTTATATGTCTTAAAGTATAATGGCTTTGGAGAGACCTTTATCAAACCAAAAGGCCAATTTGTGGTGTTTCAGGTAAGAAATATGATACATAGTACAAATCGAGGGCCTGACCGGTGGTGAAGTCCAAGTAAGAAATTCTATATATTGATTTTAAAAAATCTGTTAACAAGCCAACACATTTCAGGGGTTATAGAGGGCCACTGCATCAGGGCTTTAACCATTTGGAAGACAGGAATACTTGGACTGTACAGTACTTCAACACAGCTGTTGGAGTGTTCCAACCTTCTCCTAAACCTGTTTTCAGATCAGAGTTCTCTACACTCACAGTATTCCCATCTCCTGACAGTTTGATGATCTTACAGAGTTGTCTACAGTCTGAGTATTCCCTTCTCGTGAAAATCTTGCAATGAAGGGGGGGCCCTTATAAATCCCGAAAAGCACTGGGCTGTTAACAGACTTTTCATCAAAAATTGACCTCCTTCCTGGACTTTACCACTCTTCTGGTGTTCTTTTTTTAAATTGTACCACCTTGTTAGATATATTCATTTGTATTTTTCTTACACTATATGCAACAGTACTCTTCTATCTGACTTTTATTTCAAGTCTAAATAAGATGTTCTGTCTCCATTTTGCCCAAAGTGCATGGGATAAAATGAAGGCAAACCCATAAGGGCTTATTAAACAAGACAAGAATTCTCGAAATATCATGTCCTGCAGCAATCAATCAAAACTCCTCTTTCACTAATCCGCCTAGAGCAGGGGTCGGCAACCCCCGGCATGCGTGCCCGGCTTGGCACGCGAGGCCACATCGGCTGGCACGCAAACTAATTTTTTTGCATTTGAGAGCATGCTCGAGCCGGCTGTCAGATTGAAGTCCCACCCACCTCCCTGACGTGACCAGTTGACGTTTGTGCGCGGAGCCACACTGAGGAGGCCCTCGACGGTCTGCTCGAGGTCCTGCCTGGCGGATTCTTTACTTGCAGCACGCAGGACCGAAGGAGGAGAATCGCTCACCCGCCTGCCGGACTGAAAGGACCTTCTGTTCCCCGCCTGATTTTGTCACCATACTGCCCATCATTAGTCAGAGCACAGTGCACAGAGAAGTAAACTCAGATATGGCTGCCATGTATTATGGAATTTTACACATTATCATTATTCACTCAAAAGTTGCTACAAAATGGTGGCATTGACCAATTTCTAGCAAAATGATGTGCAACTAAAATTGTTTACATTTGTAATAATTGTGTTATTTCTTTTATAATAATGTTTACCTTTGGAAACTAAGAAATTGGAAAGTAAACTGAAGATAGAAGTCTTAAAGACTTCATCAACAAATGCATTTTGTTCTGTGACCTCTCCGCTGGTCACTGTCTCTGCTGTTCCAGAGGTCTTCACGTAATTGTCAAGCAGAGCAATGTACCGGGAAAAGGTTGGACGAGCAAACAGTTTGGCCTCATTCACATAGCTGAAAAACCTACAGGAAAAAGAGAATGTAGTAAATGTTTAAAGGTGCACAACTGAAAACAAATATTGATAGATTGATATGTAACTTTATATATAATTATTTCCTTTTTAACCAATACCAAAAAGTAAAAAAGTGGAAAGTAATAAATAGCTCATGTTATGAATACAGAGTTGTATGGCTGTGTGAGACACTGCATCTGTGCAATGTTTGTATATTTATAAGGTTGTTTGCATTCCTCTGACCTTGTGGAGTCATGCACGATTTAAAACGTTGGAGTGCTAGTCATTACAGACAGCCAGCTTTCAGGTTTCCTCTTTTTCTAGAAAGCAAACGCAGGTTTTTGCTTAGGAAAAAACTTCCACTTTACTAATACATTAAAACTTCTGTTTGAAAGGTTGCCTGAGCCCCACCTTAGGCTCCATTCACACCTGAGCGGCTGTCCGCACGTATTCAGCTGTACGGATACGCTCTAAACAGAAAATAAAATGCACTTTAATGTGCATTGTTCAGACTATTGCAGGGGCCGCGCAGTACGAAACCGGGTGGGCCCGGAAATAGTACATGCACAGTCGTCCGCGCGGGGAACACAAACGCTATATGTGAATGCAGCCTAATTCGAGGTAGCTCAGCTGGCCTGACAACAGTACATACAATCTGAATAGGCACCTCTGTCAGGTGCAAGTGAACACTGAAGGACCACTGGTTGTTGTCTGTAGTTCACAGAGGTGGACTGAGAAAGGCAGATAACACTGCTTGAGATTTCAGTGCAGCAGAGGCAGAACAGAAGTACAGAAGTTACAAGCTTACTGGAACACAGGACAGCTGTGAATTTCTGTAAGAGGAAACCATATACTAAGCTTCAGGTACCGTGTTTCCCTGAAAGTAAGACCTACCCCGAAAATAAGACCTAGCGCTATCTTCAGGGATTTCTGTAATATAAGACCTACCCCGAAAATAAGACCTAGTTCAGTGGTAGGTCTTATATTAGAGAGATCCGCTAGGTCTTACTTTCGGGGTAGCTGCACATATAATAGAATTTTACATCTCCCTCCCTAAATATATAAGACAGTGTCTTATTTTTGTGGAAACACGGTATCTACTTCTTTTACATAATTTAATTGAAAATATATATAAATAATGACTCTTATTACAAAATATTGCACAAATGTATTAGTACTTAAATAGCCAAAATTCCTAACACCAATTAAAAGAGTACTGCCTCCACGTCTACTGGTTCATTATTGTTTACACAATGCAAATAAGATCAGTACCAATATACAAATAACTGTATTCCTTTGTCCCACAATAGCTATAGGCCATGGTCTCCAAATTTACCATTGTTTTTTTATCTGCTTCACCATAATACTGATGTCCAAGAAAATTCACCATGACTTTTGGCTACCAAAGAATCAAAGCTAATTCTGTGATTACATATCTATCCAAAAATGTAAATGTCCATGAGCAACGCATGTTCAGGGTTCCATGAGATGTGAAGGTTATGTACATGTTAAAAAGGTGGAAAAAGGCTAAGCTATACTATGACCTGGAAAAATGAGAACCTTTACAGTCTTTAACAAACAATAACCTGGGGGCTGAATATAAAGTGAAGTCTCTTTTTAATATGAAATTGATAAGCTGAAATGATGGCAGGGTGCGGCTGTGCTGTTGAAACTTTGGCATAAGAGGTGCACTGTGAATGGTGTTCTTTTTATGTAAAATGCCATAATCGCCAGACACACATGGCACCCAATTTTTATCAAAACAATTTGCCCACCTATTCTGTACAGAGCTTTTATTTCAATAAAGTAGAAAGGAGAGTGTGTGGGAGGACATGGGCAACCTGGAAAATAGTTTTTAATCCTATTATTCCAATACTGTCCCTCGCTTCTGTCTGAAGACACAGCCTACATACCTTGCCCTGTAAAATCTACAGTTCCTCAAACAAGCTTTAATAATTATACTTTTCCAATTAGACAGCTTGTTGAAGTTTGCATATGCCTAAAATCAATTTTGAATAGATACAAAATGATACAATATGATGAAACGCAGTTTTTATGGAACATGTAAACAGCTTACTTTTGGCTGGAAAAGTCTGTTCCGGAGTTTGTCTGGGAGCTGGATGCCAAGTACTGTTTGTTTAAAGTAATGTCACCACTGGCGGCTTTGTTAACATCTGCAGAATACAGCTGCTCAACTAAATTGGTAATTTCATCATTGGTGGCGGCAAACACCTGTGGTTCTTGATCAACGAGTTCTCCTGGAATACAGAATTTAAACCCATATAAACAGTGATAGCTGCATTAATTTAATAGTAGAGTAAAAATATAATATTAGAACATGCTTATTATGCAGTTTGTTGAATAATTGCATATGTCCATCATTTTAAAGTTTTGCTTCCAGGCAAAACCTTTATTAACCCTTATAGTGGGGCTATCCCAGCACTGCAAGAGTTAATTGCTCGTTTTTTTCCCTAGGTGCTAAAAAAAAGCTATACTCACCTGAACCGCGGAGCCAGCTTGCTCTTAAGGTGCCCACACACCTTACGATAATCGTACGATAATCGCGGGAAATCCCGCGATCGTACAAATATCGCAAGGTGTGTGGAAGGCGTGCGATGCCTTTCTGCTGTTTTACTGTTCAAAGCCCAAAGCACCTAGACAAATATGAGCAGGTAACCCTTTGGAGTGCAGGGGTAGCCCCACTGCAAGGGTTAATAAAAGTTTTGCCTGGAGTTCTTCTTTAAATAAGCAGCTATTTCAGCTATGAGGCCTAACAAGGATCTCCAAACAACAAGTGAAATAATTTGTATAAAGTAAAAGTGGCACCATATAAAATTCAGAAAGCCCACTCAGTTTATCTTGAAAAGTCAACTTAGTTTATCCTTAAAGACCATTTGCTTTATGTTAATTTGGGAGTTATATGACTCTCTGCAGTGAGACTGCAGCTCCTTTGCCAGATCAATTGTTTCTGAAGATTGCTGTGGGGGTGGATAGCATCAGACAGTGACTAGACATGTGCGATTTGTTTAGTTACGAATCGAAATTCGTACGAATTTTCCTGAAATTCGTAGATTTGTAAGCATACGAAATCCGAATTGCAGTTTCCGAATTATATACGAAATACGAAATTCCGTTAACGAATTTCGGATTCGAATTTCTTTGAAACAGGAACTAATATTACCCCTGTAAATGAGGTTGAACAACATGACAAGATTTTTTTTTTAATCCAAAATACGGATACGCTGCTGCTGAGGGTTGCATTACAATACACAGGCAGGAAATACAAAATTCCGTTGACGTATTTTCGTTCCGTTACGAACATTCGTTATATTGAAGTTAAAAAGCAAAGTACATTTATATTGGAGTTGATGGTAGTTTTTTTTAAAGTCGGAAATACGAAATTCGGATACGGAATCCGTTAACGGAATCCGTATTTCGGAAACAATAACAACTACCACATCAACTCCAATATTAACAAAGGTATTTTTGATTTTTAACTTCATCATAACGAATGTTCGTAAAGTTACGAAAATGTGCCAAAACTAACGAAAAAACGTATTCCGTACGAATCCGAATTGAGTTTCGGATACGAATTACGAAATACGAAATAATGGATATTATGAAACGGAACGAAACGGAACAAATTTTTTTGATGGCGCACAAGTCTAACAGTGACCAGAGAGGGCTTGGTAACTTTAAGAAGAACGTGTCATGAAGGTTTGTCTACGCTGACTTGCTTCTGAAACTTCTAGCTGCCTTGCTGTGTCTGACATCAGTACTTTTAATTTACAAATCCAGAACAAGCATGCTGTAAATGAGCATCAAAAATGTCAGAATTTCTTACATTGATATCCCTTATATCTACTCAGCCAGAATTAAAATCAAAGCAACAGCATGACAGCCAGGAAAATGGCATTCTCTAAAGGAAAGTCAACATGGGCAGCCTTCATTCTATTCTCTAGTTCCCTGTAGAGCGATAGGTGGAGGAAGGGACATGACTGATGCAGGTCAGACCTGAACAAGGAGGAGTTAGGTGAGTATTGGATGGAAGGGGTTTTTTTCTGTTGTGTTTGAAAAGGGGGGAGGGAGGGCTTGCTAGCGTAGTGATAGGTGAGTGTAGCTCGGGGGGTGGAGTTAAGGGGGCCATCTTACTGTATAGTGTGCTGTAGGGAACCATTTTAGGTGGGAGAGAAAAGGAGTTTGGAAAGTCTATTAAACTATACTATTAAACTATGTTGTCCTAATGGGAGCAGTTGGGAACTCGGGATTCCCTGACCTGCATTAAGCCAGTCTCAGGAACAAGAAGATACAAGGAGAACAAGGACCATGCTCATTTTTACAACAAGAGGCCTCATACACAGAGTCAATGCTGGGATAAAAATAATAGGCAATAGGTTTATGGGCTGTGTTCTGTACATGTAAGTAAACTGTACAACTGTACAGATTGACTAGAGCAGCTTTACTCAACATTATTAACACAGAGGAACCCTTGACATAACTTTCGGGTCTCAAGAAAGTCCTGGTAATAATTACAATATCTACAGCTCATGGTACCTTAGCATTATCAATAAGCTGAGATATAAGTATAAAGAAAAAGAAAAAGGATTGTGCGGTACTTAGCGCATTTGACACACAGGACTGCTCTGTATGACACATATTTTTCGATAATAATGAAATTAAACAAATAACAATTATGGCCAGAAAGACATTCAGACAGTGGAGAAATGTAAGTGGAGAAATGCTTGATTACATTAACGATCAGTGGAAAAGTGCTCCCTGATTCTGGTGGTGAGTTATATGACCTGGTCATGGCAGAGCCCTGTTATATTGGTGGTCAGTGAAATGCTCCCCCACATAGTTAATCAGTGGGAGAAGGCCCCTAGGTTGGTTGTAGGTAGAAGAAGGACCCCTTTACACCAGTGATCAGTAAGAAATATACTACTTTTTAGCTATAAAGTTCATTGGTGTCAGTGGTCACTTATCTGAGAGTCAAAAAGTGCTCATTATTCAAGGAACCCCTAAAACCTCTGGAGGAACCATGGGGTTGCATGACACCATGATTGAGAAAGGCTGGACTAGAGTATACCTAATTTCTTATTCTATCCTTTAAAAATCAAGTAACCCATTGTTATTTTTTGTAGAGGTCTTCAAAAATCTCCTTAAGGTATACCTAAAGTCAAAATTGTTTTATCCATTTTATCAATTTGCAATTGGTTCTTTAATTATTGCCATCTTTGTCTCATTAGGCAAATTTCCCTTCACTTTATGCCCTGTAGACTCAACTGGAAGTTAGCAAAATATCTTTTTAATGTGAGGATATCCCCTGTTACACAGTTGCCACCACTACAAGTGTCCCCTATGGAGGAATTCCCCTCTATTACTGCTCTGGTGGCAACTCAAAATGTTACCTTTACCCTCACTTTCATTCCCTATGTATTAGTGATCAGGACAATTAAAGAGGGGGAATCGCCCTAAATGAGGCACAGACAGCAATAAAACCGTGACAGTGGTCCTAACTCCTCACCACTCAATCCAAATAAAAAAAAAAAGTTTTGCCTTTAGTTATAATTTAACCTTTTGTTGCAGCTTTTCTTTGAAAGAAACCTGAGTCAGCAGTCTCTGATGGAAGAAACCGAAGCCCATCTCATCTACCAAATGCTAGTTCTGAGCTAAACCAATAAACTGAATCACAAGCAACTAGTATGTAGTCTATGAGTCAATGAAAGTTTGCTTTGATCAGGGCTTTTTCAGGGCTTTAAACAAATAACAAAAATTAAAAATTAACTAATAATACATAACTCATCAACAAGTAATTGCTTGCTATCTAGTTTAAATAATGCAATATATAAATAGGAGTAAATTATTTATGATAACACAGTCATGTTACTAGAATACTGGGTCTAAACAAAAGTATCTCACTTGGATCTGGCAGGTGAACTCCAAAGACAAGACATGGCAAAAACCACAGGAGATGGAAGGAGGGCCTCATTTTGCAGCGTCTGCAGTCAGAATTCTGCTACCCACTCTACAGTTGCAAGTCTTTTATAGAGACCTTGTATCAGTGACCTCATGGGGATGATCAATACAACTGACCTTGTTTGTCTCACAAACTTTCTGAACTTCAAGAGTTGTGCAACACTATCCAAGAAACTGGGTGAACTTTACATTTCTCTTCTTATACGTGTCATTTTTCACGTCAGTAAGAACTTATTGACTTCAAAAAGTGAAGGGGGCTCTCATTAGGAGCTTCACATCAAGAGCCCCTTCCTTTCACATTAGAGTCCATCGCTCTCACAATAGGAACCCCCTTCACATCAGGAGCACATCAAGACAAACCTTCATATCAGAAACCCCCTTTACATCAGAGTCCTAAATCCCAGAGGCGTAACTAGAAACTTCAGGGCTCCGGTGCAAGAAACCAAGGCCCCCCCACAACCCCCCACCGCCATGGGAAGGCACTATGTGGTTAACAGGAAGGCTGCCGAGGTCCCCAGGAAGCGCGGAACAATCGGTTTGCAATTAGGGATGGGCTAGATGTTCGAATCTAGCAAGAGTTCGACTCGAACATTGGCCGTTCGTGTGTTCAGCAAACTGCAAGACTCAGGTCAGGTGCAAGACTTTGCCCAATCAGGGCACAGTACTCTGTAGAAGCCATGATTAGGCAAAATAATGATGAATTTTCTCAATTATGGCTCACCGGTCAGATGCCGTACAACTGTAAACAGCTGGGCGGAGCTAGCAAGCTGTCACCCCTAGCTCCGCCCAATTGTTTATAATTTGCCGACATCCATCAGAATGCCATTATTTATTTAAAATTGTTTTATTTTTTATTTTGTTGAGTCGTCATCATCATGGACAACGGTGGACGTCGTGATTGATCCTGGATTACGTTGGTGGATCCATTTTTTGCGGTTCTTTGATTTTTGTATAAAAGATTTATATAACATGTCTTTTGTTTTTTTCCAATTAAAGGATTTTTTTTAAAGTTTGGCCTGTTTTTTAAAACATTAATTTAACACTTTAGTGAATGGGTAGGGGTACAAGTACCCCTTACTCATTCATAGGGGAGGGGCCACATCTGGGTGTCCCTTTATTACCCTGATGTGAACAAGCCCCCTGCACGCACCCTCACAACCAACGCCCCAGGGCTTGTCCCCATCGGCTTGGGGACAAGGTACTTTTCCAGGGGCGACCCTGGAAAAGCACCCTCCCAGTGCCAAGGCATGTGGCCTGGTATCACGGGGAAGGGGGGCTCGCTCACTCAACCCCCCCTTTCCTGCCCTGCCAGGCCTGTGCTTGGATCAAGGGTCTGGTTGGGAATTTTAGGGGAGACCCCACGGCTTTTCCCCCCATTTTTGGTGGTGGGGTTCCTCCTTAAAATTCCTGCTATGACTTCTGGGGGGAACCACACACTTTTTTTTCTTTTTTTTTTAAATGGGCTCCCTCCTAAGTTTCCTACCAGACCTAAAGGGTCTTGTATTGTTTGGGGAGTGGAAACAACACACTTTTTTTTCTTTATAAATGTCATTTTTGCTGCAGCTGGTTCTTTACATCGTACAGATGTGCCATTTTACAGGCAGTTTAAGGGGACCCCCTAGGCACGATATTTAAAGGAATGTTTCATTTTTATTGTTTCACTTTAAGTGATGTTAAAATCACTGCTCCTTAAAAAACGTTTTTTTTTAAAGTGTTTTTTTCATTGATGCATGTCCCCCAGGGCAGTGCTCGGATCCCCATACACCTTTTATGGTCATTAATTTGCATATAAGCCTTCAAAATGGGGACATAGAGTTGCATTGAGTTCAAGTTTGAATTCAAACTTTTCCCATGTTCAAAAGTTTGAATTCGAACCGAACACAGGGGTGTTCGGCCCATCAATATTTGAAATGCTTCTGAAACCATAAAAATATCATAAACAGGCGTATTTGACTTCTGACCTGTATTTGACCTCCTCCTAAGCCGTCTAAATCTGTTTGAAATTTATTTTTCATTCCCACCGACTTAAATGGGGACAGAAGCCGTTCTGATTTGAACAAAAGCCCATTGCCACAAGCCCTATATTGCCTGCAGCCACAGGACTTAAGGTAAGGTGACCAGATTTTTTAAATGAAACCTGTGGACATTTTTTTTTATTGGCAAATGGTAAAAAAAAATTTTGTTAGCATATTTCCCTCAAATTATACACATGCACTGTATTTGATATACACCAAATTATGTCCCCAGACATGTCCCCGGAAACATAAAATAATAAAAAAAAATGTATACTTACCTGATCCTTGGATCCACCGACGAGCGCAGCCTCCCATCCCCCACGCTGTCAAAAACTGCATACAGCGTGCGCAGGTTACTATTTAAACTTGCGCATGCTGTGTGCAGCTTTTGACAGGCTGCTTTATTAGTGTAGCGGAAGCTACGCTAAATGCGCAGCCGGCTTCCCCTCTACTCTAATAGCGTATCTTCTCAGAAGCTACATACGGTTTGATGCACTTGTGCTTAGTTTGACCCATAGATTGCTGACACAGAAATAAATGCTCCCGTTTTTATAAATTCCCCTTTCATATAAATCAAAACCCCAAAAAAACACAAAATAATTTCCCTTTAATGGACAAGTACATGTTTAGTGAAATGCACTAGTCCACTCCCTCTAGCCCTATAAACCAAAATGACGTAGAAACCCCCCATCCAGCTGCTTACTTAGGGGGGATGAGATGATGGACTAAATGCAGTTTTAGTAAAAAATTAACTCTTTCTCTAAAGCTGCTTATCAGGCAAGTAACAACACTTATGACAGAGTACTTTAATTATACAAAGTACCCTTATTGAAACAGAAAAAAAAACAAAAAAACAATGGCATACCATATTTCATTCAGATACAGAGACATTTTTTTTTTACAAATCACAGCATGAATTCAGTTTGCACAAACAATGTGAGAATTTCATTTTCTTCCTCTTACTTCTTACTATAATAATTTTCATTAGCCATAAAAAAATTATACTTACCTGATCCCTGGATCCACCGACGAGCGCAGGCTCCCGTCTCCCACACTGTCGGAAGCTGCATACAGCGCGCACCGGTTACTATTTAAACTGTTGTGCGCTGTATGCAGCCGGCTTACCCGCTACGCTAATAGCGTATCTTCTCAGAAGCTGCATACAGTGCGTTCCGGTTTAAAGAGTAACCGGAACACGCTGTATGCAGCGTCTGACAGCGTGGTAGACAGGGGGCTGCGCTCGTCGGTGGATGCAGGGATCATGTGAGTATAAAAACATTTTTTCTTTATTTTATGTTCCCGGGGACATAATTTGTCCGGGGACGGTCTCCTCAATCCGGGGACTGTCCCCAGAATTCAGGGACGAATGGTGACACTGCGGTGTCACTGCTCGGGTGTCACTGCTCGGGAATTGGCTTGTGTTGACATATCATTGGTTACATGCCTGAAGATCTGCTGGCTCCATTGTCTTTCCTAGAATGAGTGTGGACTCCCTGATGGCTCAGTACCAGAGCTGACTGCTCAGTAGCTCTCCTCGAGGTGATGCAGCTTCATGCACAAACGCCAAGCTGATTGACAAGGTGAGGCGAAGTATCCTGGAAGAGCCCACCCTGAACAATGCCTTCCACAATGATTTCTTCTTGATCGCCAGCGGAGTCCAGGACCAGTCAGATCTACTCTGCAACTGGAATCGTACTTCTGACATCTTCCAGATCCTGGAGCAGGCTGCCCTTCATCTTTATTTTACTCCTTGGAGAAAAGAGTTTCATACTGTAAAGGTGAGTGAGATCTCCCAAAGAACTGTTCAAATCAGACTGGGGCCTCCCAACTGAAAGCTTTTGCTTTAGACCTGTTGGCTATGCCAGCTTCCCAAGCCTTTGCAGAGAGGATATTCAGTGTCACAGGTGACCTCAGAAGAGGCCAGCGGAATAAAGCAAAGGTCATATTGGCACGAAGTGCTTTCCTTAAAATGAATCAAAACACATAGAAGAGACCAGTAACTTTCTTGATACTTGATTGTCAACTCTTTATCAACTTCTCTCTTTCTCTCAGCATTGAGAAAAAAAGGTAAATATCCCACTTAGCATAGACCAGTAACTTTCCGTGAGATGCATAATGTTGCTATGGCAATAGTGAATAGCAGTAAAAACTGTTCTTAGTCTGTTCTTAGTGGGATATTTACCTCTTTTCTCAATGCCGAGAGAGAATGAGAGGAGTTGATAAAGAGTAGTGTTTAGCTGGCCATACGCCTATAGATTATCTGCAGATTTTCTATGGTCAGATGGAAAATGTGCAACAGATTCCCCCATCTACGCTAAACTGTGTGAATGGAGGAATCTCCCACTGGGCCAAGCTTCAGTATATTGCTAGTCGGACCCACTGCCTTTCAAAATACCTGAACAATCTGATTGGATGCAGGCATTGTTCAGGTATTGTGAGAGCCAGTGGGGTCGGGGCCGACTAGCAAGATACTGAAGCTTGGCCCAGTGGAAGATTCCTCCATCCACACAGTTTAGCATAGATGGAGGAATCTGTGGCCAGTGGCGTCACAAGGGGGGGTGTGGCCCGCACCCGGGTGACACCATTGGAGGGGTGACACCAAAATGAGGTGTATGACCAGCTTTAGTGTATTATGGACTATGGCAGTGTTGCCTGCGACCTTTTTCTTTGAAGGCATTTGAGAATTAGAATAGTCAGTTGATTGATTCATACTATAAGTATAACCCATGAGTATGGGTTTTATTATACTGTGGCGGTGCTAGCTGCAGAAACCTTTTGTGGTGTTGAGTAACTTACTTGATACTTGCTTTTATAATAAACAGAGAACTGTTAAAGTTTTATATTCAGGTAATATGTGCAATGGCGTTAACGTCAATAAAGTTTATTTTTTTAATATTAATTTGCACGTCTGTTTGTGAAAAATTAATATTCTTGTTTGTTTATTAAACCTGGTTTTAATTTTAAGATAAATGAAGACATTCTATTCACAGCGACTAAA